TGTATTTTACTTTATAATTCTGCTGAAATAAATATATTTCTATTCTACTAGAAAACAAAAAATGGAACATGAAAGAATCTGAAAGTTTCTTTTTTCTCCCTCAAAAAGACTTATAAGAAGGATATAATTTTGTTGTGTTGTGTTGTTGTGTACTGTTCAGTCAGAACCAAGGAACCAACCCATTGCTGACCCTCTGGTGGGTTTTCAAAGGCAGTTAATTGCATGGGAGGAGGTTGCCTATCCTTCTCTCATGGAGCGGCTGGTGATCTCGAACCCTGTGCCTTTGGGATTGCAGCGTAGCTTCTTATCAGAGACAGCCATAGAAAGAAGGCATGATTAGGAGAGATGAAAATACAAGAAGAGAATATGAGATAAACATCTGTGCAAATGTACTGGTAAAAAAGATGATTTTAAAGGAAAAGATTACAAAAATGTCACCTTCTTTTAAAGTTAAAGAATGTTTTTACCATTTGGCTATCACAATTTGATTTATTTCAGGAATATTTCTTGCTTAGTGCTATGAGATTTATAAAAGTTCATAGACCATAGTCTCAATCTTCTTAAAATTTAACATTTACCATTATTTGTTGTTTAATTGGTTTATTCTCTACCTTGCTCCCAAGATGTCTTTTAAAGTTGCATTGCTTTTGATATATTTATAAAGATGAGGCAGAAGAGGAAAAACGGTACCAGGAATGAAGATAAACAACCACAATATGAAAAAAAGGAACTTCAAATTGTCTTAACAGAAATAAGTGCCCTGGAGGATTTGAAGGTGAGGGAGATTTCTTAGGGCTGGGAAAATCTGAGAGGATAGAAAACTTCAAATGAGTGATGCTAACTTAAAAAAACAACAACAACAGCAACAACAACAAAAAACCCAAACAGCAAACCAAACCAGCTTTGTTAGTTCTACCATATTCTTATTTTCTGTTTTGGTGTGTGATTTATATAACACTTGTAGTCCTGGGTCTTAAGTTGATTCTCCTGTGGATTCACCAGGTTCCTCTGGACTTTCTGACCACACCTCATGTGTATGACTCCAGAAAACTCTTACCTGGTCAGCATGTTGGGCTCTCAATTCATAGCTGATCATTCAGACATTTTCAGAGGCTGTAAATTGCCCATAGAGAAGATTGCCCATATTTCTCCCTTGAAGCAGGTGGTGGATTCGAACCGTGTGTCTTCGGGCTGGCAGCTCAACTCCTTACCATTGGCAGTGCCCCTCCTAACTATTACCAACAGAGCTCCCTATCACAAATAGATGCTTACCAATATTTGCTGCTACCTTAATACAAATTAAACACATCTTTTCTACTCTCTAGATGTTCAGCATCTTATGAAAAATTAAGCTATGCAAATAATTTTATAAACTATGATGTGGGAAATCTGTGTAACATCTATACAGTATTCTGAAAATGCTAATGAAGGAGCTATAAATTCTGACGTCAAGATGTTTAATTCTGTAGATCTTCAAATAGACCATGTCATTTGAACTATTCTCAAAGAAAGAGTAAATTCATCAGGAAAGTAGAGAATACTTTCTAAATAGAAGGAACTCATCATCAATATAGACACTGAGATGGTAGAATCAGTAATACCTCAATGCGTCCTGTTTGGCTCTAGTTCAGGTACATGACAGTAAGTGTTGACAGAGGGTGGAAAAATGGGCTAGGCTTGGCAGCCTCCTAGCTGGACTTTAAACATAAGCAAAAAAGGAAGATTACAAAGCTACATCTGTGTTTTACGCTGCCTTCAATACCTTCTTCAGCCACCCCAACCCTTGCTGGATTCTGTGAAGAATAATATGGCATCGGGATTGGAGGAAGACTCATCAACAACCTGCACCATGTAAATGGCACATGCTTGCTTCCTGAAAGTGAGGAAGAATTAAAACTCTTGTTGTAAAAGGTCTAAGATGATAGCCTTCAACGTGGACTACATCTCAACATAAAGAAAACAAAAATTTTCAGCACTGGACCAATAGGCAACATCATGATAGATGGAGAAAAGATTAAAACTGTCAATTAATCTTACTTGGGTCCGCAGCACACTTGGTGTCAGCAGTTAGAAGATCAGGAGATGTACTACATTGGTCAGTCTATAGTCAAGCAGTTCTCTAAATTACTGAGAAGCAACAATGTCAGTTTGAAGACTATGGTGCTCCTGATTCAGGCAATGGTCTTCTCAATCACTTGCTGTGCATCAAAAACCTGGACAATGAATTCAGATGACAGAAGAAGAACCGATGCCTTTGAGTTGTGTTGGAGAAGAGTAAGGAATATCACATGTCAATAGAACAAATATATATGCCTTGGACTAAGAGCAGCCAGAGTACTTGTTGGAGGCAAAGGTGGCAAAGCTTCAGCTCATATATTTTGGGTAGGATGCTAGGAGAGGCTATCCTTAGATATGGACATTATGCTTTGAAAGGTGAAGGGTCCACAAAAGAGGAAGACCCTCAACCAGGTGGATTGACACAGTGAATGACACAATGTGCCCGAGTATGTCAAAGACAATGAAGATGACACAAGATAGGACAGGGTTCAGATCTGTGTTCAAAGGGTCATTATGAATTGTACTTGACTTACTGACATCTGACAACAACCTTTGGTAACAACACTAAATAAATAAAAAGATGTATCGTACTGGGAAAGTCTGCTGTCAAGGACCTGTTCAAAGTACTAAGGAACAAAGTCAATTATACAACTGAGGGACACCTGATCCAAGTCATGTTTTTTTCAGTTACTTGATATGCATCTGAAAGTTAGGCAATGGCTAGGGATAAAAGAAGAATCAATACCTTTGTATTGTGGGGCTGGAGTAGAGCACTGTCTGCCCCATGGATTGCCAAAAGAACATGCTAGTCTGCCTTCGAGACAGGTGTGACCAGGGTGCTCCTTGGAGGCAAGAATGGTGAAACTTCATTTCACATAGTGTGGTGGGCCAGACCTTGGAGAAAGATATCATATTGGGAAAGGTCAATATAAGAGAGAAAGACCATCCACAAATGGTTTGACACAATGACTATACCAATGGGCTCAAGTGTATTGGAGATGGTCAGGGTAGGGAACAGGCTGGGGCAAGGTTCAGATCTATTGTTCATAGGATTGCTACGAGTCACAGTCATTTTGATGACACATAAAACAACAACAGTTTTGAGAAGAAGTTCAATAGGCCTTTCTTACTGGTCTAGTTGGAGGCTTTCCTGAAACCTATCTACCACAAGTGACCCTTCTGGTATTTGGAGTACTTGCCGCATAGCTTCCAGCATCACAACCACACACACCCC